GACAAACCACAAGACAATGACTTCATAATGTCTCAGTTAGAATACATACAATATAAGCCTGAGGACGAGAGACACTGAGCAGTCAATCGTCACCTCACCCCTTGTCTATGCATGCCCCCCTTAAGTTTTCCCTCTTAACAGAGACATTGAATAATGAGCTTTATCATACTAATCAAGACATTGTACAAGTTGGGGAAGAAATAGGTCCAGACTGACTCAGAAAGAAAGAGGAAAAAAGAGACAAACTTATTGCCTGTCTCAAATCAGATCTATTCGAAATATTTGTTCAGTCATTTCCAAATGACTATGCAAGTGAGGTCAACCAAATTGTAGCAGTATTGAAGAAGGAATACAACATTCAGGTTCCCCAAGATCATATCATTACAACCTCCACTCAATTACAATGGAGCCAAATCATTGAGATCACTCTGAGCACCCAAAAGTAGCTTTCATTTTATAGCCTGTTACTTTAACCTGTATTGTACATAAGTAGACACTATGATGATTAAATAAAGTCTATTTGTGCTCTGAGCCTAAACAGTAATACTCTCAGAATTGTTACACCAATTGTAGTATCTCTTTTGCCTTAGGACAACCATTACACTCCTTCTGTGACACTCTGATAACAAACACTAGAACATGAAAGACACTAAAATGTGTAATCACTCATTTCAAATTCTGCTGATTGTGAGTTCCTAGACTAAATACCCTTTTTGTATTTGTGAACTTTCCTTCACCTGCATCAGGCGTATCAGCACAGAAAGCAACAATTATTAACACAACTTCGACTTTTTGACTTGAATACCCATGTTTGGACAAGGCTTTGGATCACTAGTGTCTTGCTTAGAAATGCTGCTTCTCCATCTCTACACTTTAAGACAAAAATTATGCCACAATACTTTGGAATATTCAACTATAATGCCCTCTCTTTTATTACTTCGGATCAACATTACTTAGAGTCTTAGACCTTATCTGAAATGACTGAAATTTGTAACAAACAAGTTCCTCTCTCTCCTCAAGGATCTTTATCCTCTGTTGTCATCCAATAAGGCTGCTGAATATGTGGAAAATTCATAGTATATTACTACTACTATTATATTCAGTACTAGCAACAGATCTGACACAGCTGTGCTAGTGTTCAAGTTTGTCATGGCTAGGCTCAGTACTATCTCTGAATCTCACAACAATAAGTGTAACACTACTACTGAACCAGACATGCTACCAAGCATGTTTAATGTTTAATGGTTTGCAACTACTGGTCACACAACTAATAATTGAATATTTGGCAGGCAATGGTTGTGCAACCAGTTGAACCAAGCAGGGCCTAGAAATGCTAGTCAGGCATTATGCAGGGTGCAAGTCGCTATGCCACACAGTCATACCAAGCTTCCATTCTCTTTTGCCTGCTTCTCAAGCTTTGACAGTGAGACAGGATGAGGCTTCTTTGATCAGCGAACCATACGCTTGGTTTGCGTGGGCACGACGAACGCTGTCAAGTGTCAGGAAGAGCACGCGTATGTATGGAATAGTAATGGTATCTTGTCTTCTCGTTCTTCGAGGTTTGACACAGAAGCAGAATTAGCTTTTGTAGCTCAGTAACTCACGGTACTGATGCGCATGGCATTATGAAAGGACTGCCTATTGCGATTGTGCAAATTTGCGCCAAGAATGATCGAATTAAGTACAGTTCTTGCATGGTATAAGATATAAACATCTATTGTAAGGAGATCTCTGGTGACTTCCGACAATAATCATTAGCTTTTCTGATATTGGTGTCAACTTTGAGTGTTTGAGTACTCACAATGCCTCTCGTCTCGAATGCTAGCCAATCACCAGTACCGGTAGGTAATAACCCCATAGAGCGGCACTTCCATATGCCCAAAGCAAGAGTGAGAGCATTACAGAGGAAATATACCGATTTTTGCAAAGGAAGCGTCGTGAGTGCACGTGCGTCTGACGTTGATGGAGCGAACTGGGCGAAGACTTATCACCAGAAACCAACGATGAATCCAGTAGGGGAAATCATAAGAAGTAAGCCACACGCGATAGCCGGCAAAAAAAGGAACGTTAGCTGCCGGACTTCGCGAAGCGCGTATGAAACACGAAAAGGAACACGCACCTGAATTAATGTTCGCGAGGTTCTTGAACGGCGAGAAGAGGAGCATGAAGACGATGCCCATGCTGAAGATCTGCACTCCTCCGCCAGACATGTAGAGCATGAACGCCTGCATTGGGAGTTGTTTCGCGGGTGATATCGCTAGATCCCAAGCGCGTTTCTCTTTGAGTGCTGTGTAGGATGGCTCTGCGGAGGTAGTCATGGATGAGGAAGATGACGACTTTGCCGTTGATTTGGATGACTGAGGGGAATTTGAGGATTAATGGAGGAAATACGGCTAAGTGTGTTGCACATGGGTAGAAGTCTTCGGATAAGTAACGCACGGATGATGGAAGTTGTGCAAAGCCTGGGGGAGGGGGTAAGTTCCTCCATCTGTAGACCGTGTTCATCAGTGCGAGGTTTGAATCATGCTGTGAGTTCGACGAACTTTGATGGACTGTCGATGGAGGAGTAGTCAAGTCGCGTTGCCATTGTCGTCTAGAGTGGCAGAACAAGCAACGTCGGCGGTAAGTAATGAAGTGGTAAGAGGCAAGAAGGAAGAGCGGGAAGCAGTAGTACGTCGGAGAGTCGCACGACACAACGGTGACCAACTCTGGCACTGCGCCGATCACTTCTATCAATATCTCACTAACTAGTCTCTCTACCTGCACCGAGCAAATCCTTCTTATACCCCTTCCACTTCCTCCATGGCATAACACCCACCCTCCTCCCTTCCACCATGTTCGCTCTCTCCTCTCTGCTATTGATCTTAGCTTGGAGCGGCCGAGTTGTAGCACAGGCAACGTGCGAGAACTATGGCGTCCAGAATGGCTCCACTTGTAGTTGCCCGCCCGGGTTTGGTGGTCCAACATGTTCTGAGCCCAGTTGCGGGGGCGATATATTCCAAGGATCAAGCAGAAACCTCTCACAAGGAAATACAACGTCTTTCTCCAACTTAACTAGCTCAGGATGTTCTTGTGAATCTGGATGGGGAGGCTTCGGATGCAATGTCTGTCAGAGCGCGTCGGCATGCCAGACTGCGTTTGCAAATGCTGGCGGGAATTCGAATGCCGCGAGCAGCTTGACTGGTAGCCAGAATAACACGCTTGTGTGTAATAATGAGCCGACGGTCCAGGCGGCGGGACAGATGAGTTGTAATGTCGTCGTAAGTCTGCTACGCTTTCCGATTATAGTTCAATAATTTAGTGAACTTAATTTAATTCAATTAGAACCCGACGTTACAAGCAATTTTCCCCGGGACTTCAAACCTTAACATCTTACGAACTCTGCAACCTGGATTAACACCGTTGCCTAATGTTACTGGTTTCGGTTCAGCAGGATCTGCATATGCTCAACTGTGGTACAATGGTGTAGAGCAGTTCTATTGCACGGCGGATTCTTGTGCACAGTCCATCGCAGATGATAACTCGACAAATTATCAATGTTCGGACTTGCAGTGCAATTGTCGGACAAATACAACTTTCTGTGGTGGTGGGGTACGTTTTGTTCACGTTGCAATTTCTTCAATGACTTATGAGAGAGAATATCTTTTTATCTTATTTTTCAGGGAACTAATATTAAACCAACCATTGACAGTCTTTCAGGAACGTTAACGATATCATGCCAACAACCAGCAAACGGGTCATTAACAACAACATGTGGCTTCCAACAAGCCGTCCTGAACGGACTCTTCGGCAAGAATGGGCTTTCACTCTCAGACTGTTCCTTCGGAGAATGCGTTGCGCAAAGTGTCATAGACACTTCGAACCCCTCGAGCGCTACGACGGAAGATACGCGTAAAAGCTTGAGCGGAGGTGTTATTGCCGGACTTGCAGTTGTAGGAGCGCTATTGTTACTTGCGATTCTGTTCTTGCTGTTTGGTGCTATTCAGCAACGAAGAGCAAGGAAGGGGTTCTCTGGAGCGTTTAAAGATGGTGGAGTTACAATTTCGTGGAGGAACGTTTCTTATATCGTTCCGACTACGGGCCTTTTTGGCGCCTCTCGGCGGAAGTGGAACTCTGCAGACGGATATACAGACGAAAAAGTTATACTGGATAACGTGAGTGGACGTGTGGAACCGGGGCAGATGATGGCGATCTTGGGACCTTCGGGTGCGGGAAAGACGACGCTTGTTGAGATCCTTGCAGGGAAACAGAAGACAGGCGTTATTTCTGGATCGATCTCGCGTTCATCTGGTGGTGGTGTTACTACCTCAAACGCGCGTATTGCGTTCGTACCGCAACAAGATGTACTCCCTGCAACGCTCACAGTTCGTGAAGCACTCTTGTTCGCCGCAGAGTTGCGCTTGCCGGAATCTATGTCGTATAACGAGAAACGTGCTCGTGTGGAAGAGGTTATGGAACAACTTGGCCTTACGGCTGTTGCGAATACACGTATTGGCTCGTCAGATAGACGAGGTATCTCAGGCGGTGAGATGCGACGTGTCAGCATTGGTCTCGAACTCGTCTCTTCACCTTCCGCACTTATCCTCGACGAACCTACGTCAGGTCTCGACTCAGTCAGCGCCGCGCGCGTAGCAGACGTTCTTCGCAACGTAGCGCACGATCCGGAAAAACCAATTCCGGTAATTGCGAGTGTACATCAGCCGAGTAGTAAGCTGTATCATATCTTTGATGGTGTTATGGTATTGGCGCATGGGAGAGCGTTGTACGAGGGTCCTGGAGGATTGAGACCGCTTGAGCATTTTACGAGGATGGGTGTGGAGGCTCCGCCGGAGGGGTATAATGTTGCGGAACATTTGTTGGACGTTGCGTCTGACCCCGACCCGTCTTTGTTCTCGTCGTCTGCGATGCAGAAGAGACCCGAAGAACAGAATAGGGAAGTTGAGCAGCGAGAGCAAGTGGCAGAGTCGGAGAAGAGTGAGGGTGCGAGTGCTGGGGCGAGTAGTCCTGCGGAGTTGGAGAAGGGTGAAGTGGTTGGGGAGAAGAGGAGGCTGTGGATGCGGAGAGGGGCTGGGGCTGGTAGGGGGAGAGGGTCACTGTATGCTGCGACGTTTTTGACGCAGCTTCAGGTGTTATCTGGACGGGAGTGGAAGATCCTGCGGAGGTATGCTTGACGTCATCTAATGCATACGCATGGACTAATGACTCTGTCGCTTGTAGAGATAAGACGCTTTTCCTTACGCACGTTGGTATCTCCTGCGTACTTGGTGTCTTCTGTGGTGGCCTGTACTTCAATACTGGCATTACTATCGCTGGCTTCCAGTCGCGCGTCGGGTGTTTGTTCTTCCTGGTAAGGAACTGCACAGATCTGCATGTCTAAGAAATAGATACTAACTTTCCATACAGGGAGCCCTGATCGCGTTCTCGTCATTGAGCGCGCTGTATAACCTTGTTGAGAATCGACCGCTGTTCTTGCGAGAGAGATCGAATATGTACTATAGGTACGCCAGGTAAAGTATCTAGTGTGAAGTCCATTCTAATGAAATTTTGTAGACCTACTGCTTGGCTACTTTCACGACTCGTCTTTGATGTTGTACCCCTTCGACTTATACCTACTATCATAGTCTCCTCTGTGTAAGTTTCATGTTTTGTGTCACGGCGTGTAGTGTTGACAAGTCTTTTTAAACAGGACGTATTGGATGGCGGGTCTCGCTCCCGATCCGGCTCACTTCTTCAAGTTCTTATTCATCCTCGTTTTGTATTCTCTAGCAATGACTCTCTTCGTACGTCCTTGTCATCCCTCCACATGACCCTGCGTTAAATTAATTTAACTGTATCATTGATAGAATTTCCTCCTTGCATGTCTCTTCCAAAACGGGGGCGTCGCCATTCTCCTTAGTGCGCTCACAGCACTCTACCAAATGACGTTTGCAGGGTTCTTCGTACACCTAGGAGACATCCCTCCAGTGTTGAGGTGGTTACAGTGGTTATGTCCGTTGAAGTATACACTTGAGGCGCTTTCGGTGAACGAGGTAGGGTCCGGGTTGATGATTGAGGATACGTTGCAGGGTGTACCTGTGAATGTGAGCGCGAGTTTGATCATGCAGTTGGTGGGTACCCTTTTATCTCTGCATGTCTCGCCGTTGACCAATACGTGTGTATCGATAGTTGTTCGGCTTCGGAGTGAACAACTATTACCGAGACGTGCTCGTGTTGTTTGCGTTCATTGCTGGGTTCGGACTAGGTGTGATTGGGATTGTGTGGTTTAAGATGAGGGAGAGGCGATGAACACTGACTGAATACCGGACTTTGTTTCTAATTGTGATTGATGATTCCCGATATGTTTTTGACAGCCTTTTTGGATACTTATGCAACATTGTTGACCTTCCTATATTGCGTTTTGTGCTTTAAATCGATGATGATGGAGGTCTCATAGCTTCGCAAAGTCTTATTGTGTTTAGGTCTTAGAAGAAAGCGAGAGGTGTGAAGGATGATGCAAATATACAGTATTACAGTCATGCGAACTGTATCTTGTCACAAGAAGAAAGAGCATTCATAGTTTGTTTAGTTAGGAGTATGTTTCAGGGGCTAATGGTGTAGTTGGTTTATCACGCTCGCTTAGCATTACGTAATGCAGTTTGCGAGAGGGGTCCGGTTCAATTCCGGATTAGTCCACTGTAGTTTACTCTCGGCTTTTTTCTAGTCTTTTTCTGTTCTAGTTATCCTACAGTTCTTACATGTATGAAGGTGGTAGTCTATAATAGCTAGAGAATAGCAAATTATCAATACGAGGAAAGGTTTACTCTTAGTTTTATACTTATATTTAAGTGAGTCAAAATAAGAGTATAAAGAATTTTATTAAAGAATGTGTTCTCTAAGTTAATAGTACACTCTAACTGTAAATTAAGCTTACAGCCCTTTCACCAACTATATTCCAATAGACCAAGACAGGATATTATGTAAGGAACAAAAAGGATACAAGAAGAGTTAAAAAACTAAAGAACTATTATATAAAATAAATAGTATTTATAATGTAAAAAGTGTTAAAAGACTTAGTGTCAGCAACAGTGTAGAAGGAACCT